AGAGATCTCTCCACATGGTGTTACTATACTGCAAGCCTTTTTTCAGGAAAATCTCATTGTCATATTAATTTTGGCTGTTGGTCGGAGGTACATGGAGTCATAGTCAACAACATCTTGTACAGTTATTTTCTTGTGAATGGTTCTGTGTGTATGGATAAATTAAATCGGCTCTTGATAACCAGCAGTGTCACCATGCCCCCTGGCCTGGTGACCAGATGGTCCAACCAGCCAACATTTGGAGGAGTTTAGTTGAACTGTTGAATTGACTAAAAGTTGTCACTCAAACTTGTCTCATGTTTAATTTCGATGCATCAAATGCCACGCCCATTTTTAAAAGTTTGTTTTAAATGATTAGCAGAACAGAGGGCTTTTAGTTGTCTTTTGGATGAGGAAAATGTAATCTGCATTGGCCTTGGTTTGATTCAGACACATAAAAGAGTGAAAATATTCATGTTTCATTCTGGTCTGTTCATGTACATGTGTATGCGCATCCTTACGAGAAAAGCCCATGTTTGCACCATTTATAGCCCTGTGCATCATGTACATTGTGTATATGTCCTGGTACCGTGAGTGCTGAATGATGACCGGTAACACCACAGATGGTACAGAACAGAATGGTGTTGCCAAGTCAATTTTATTTGTGCCACTGGCAAAATTTGGAGGCACGCAGAAATGCAACCAGTCCAGGAAGTTCTCCACAGGCGGTACATTTATCATCAAGGGAATTGTGTGGTGGAAGATTTGACATGGCAATATTAAATCATTCATAATCCTCTACGAGAGCAGTCTTTAAGATGTTCGTGATTAGCTAGAGGGAGAAACCGATGTAGAGCTTGCATGCTGGTAGATACATTCATGCTCATGGATATGGCGAGGCATGAAGTGGTGTCACTGCAAAGGCCTCAGTCATCTTGTGGGTAGCACCCAGCTGATGTTCCAGTGATGCAGCATCTTAGGAGATTGCTTAGCCTTGAAGATGTCTGCATGAGGATTGGCATTCCATCTCAGTGAGAGGATACATCCATCACCTTAATCACTTTCGGGACTCTGGGAAAGTGAGAGTAAATATCCAGCACACTGGTAGGGTGAGAAGGACTCAAGCATTGACTCAAGTCATAACATCTGATGAGTCTGCTATGGAGTCACTTTGTGACTCAGACTGGAGAACTCATGCTCTGCAGAGCAAGTGATGTTACTCTTTCACCGCTAGTTCCTATTTGAGAACTGACCTGACTGAATTTGTGTTGCAGTATTTTGCTCGTCATGCATGAATGATTGATTTTGGTCAAACTTTTAACATCAGTCAAAGGAGGTGTTGGAGTCAAGACCATCACAAGACCAGACACAAGTAACAGGATGAACAATAATAAAGGAATGTTTTTGTTGCAGTTCATTTGTATAGTTCACAGTGACTTGAATTCAGGCTAGAGGGAGGGCTTGGTGCCAAGGGACATGCGCGGCACCAAGATTGTGACTCTCTACAAAAACAAGGGTGACCGCAGTGACTGTAACAGTGACAGGGGTATCTCCCTACTCAACATTGTAGGCAAAGTCTTTGCAAGAGTCGTCTTGGCCCGGCTGCAGGTCCTGGTGGCGCGTGTCTACCCAGAGTCACAGTGCAGATTCAGGGCGGGCAGATCCACCACCGATATGGTTTTCTCCTTACAAGAACTGCAGGAGAAATGCCGCGAGCAGAGCTAGCTCCTCTACCTCGCCTTCATTGACCTAACAAAGGCATTTGACCTTGTCAGCAGGAGCGGGCTGTTCAGCATCCTGAAGAAGGTTGGCTGCCCTCCAAAACTGTTCGCCATCCCTGTGTCCTTTCCCTTGGACATGAAGAGCAGGGTGTGCTATAACGGAGTATCTTCGGAACCGTTCCCAATCAGATGTGGAGTTAAGCGGGGCTGTGTGCTCGCCCCTACGCTCTTCCTGATCTTTTTTTTCCACGCTCCTGTCCTACCCTTCCGCGACAACGGTGACGGTTGTATCTACACACGAGGACTGACGGGTGCCTTTTCAACCTTGCCAGACTCTAGGTGAAAACCAAGGTCAGGTGTGTTACCATCAGGGAGGCCCTTTTTGCTGACAACGCAGCCCTCAGGACCCATACCGAACCAGCTCTGCAGCGACTGGTGGACCGCCTGGTATATGCATGCAGGGAATTTGGCCTCACCATCAGCCTCAAGAAGACAGAGGTGATGGCCCAGGGCACTGACTCCCTTCCATCTGTCCACATCGAGGACTATGACCTGAACTCCGTCAGTCAGCTCCAGTACCTCGGCTCAACGATTTCCTCCAACTTATCGCTGGAGCCAGAGACCAACGCCAGGGTCGCCAAGGCAGCGGGGGGATGTCCAAGCTCCAAAAGAGGGTGTGGTCTAACAACAACCTGACCGACAACACCAAGATACAGAGCCTGCATCCTCAGCACCCTGTTCTACTCAAGCAAGGCCTGGACAACATATGCTGCTCATTAGAGGAGGCTGAACAGCTTTCACCTTCGCTGCCTTCGGCGTATCCTTGGCATCTACTGGCAAGAACGGATTTCCAACATCCAAGTGCTCAAGTGGGCAGGGCTGCCATCCATCTTTGCTCTCCTGACCCAGCGCTGCCTGCAGTGGCTCGGATATGTGCGCTGCATGGATGATGGCCGCATCCCGAAGGACCTGCTCTACGGTGAACTTGCAGATGGTGCTAGATCTTGTGGTCGCCCCGCCCTCCGCCTTAAAGACTCATGTAAGCGTGACCTGAGAGGCGCTGGCATTAATATCAACATGTGGGAGGGACTCGCCGATGACTGGAGAGCCTGGAAGTCCGCTGTCCTTAGCAGAAGAGAGCAAAGTGCAAGTCAAACTCCATAGACCAAGCAGCCTCAGCCTTTGTCTGCCCAGCCTGCTCCAAAGACTGTCACTCCCGCATCAGCCTGCATAGTTACAGCAGATGATGCAGAACCCGGTATTGACCCATCAGCGTGCAGCCATCGTCTCTTGAGACGGAAGGAGGCCGAAGGAGGAAGGAAGGGTCTTGTGTTGGTCCTGTGTGGTCTTAAGAAGGTCTGAGTGGTCTCAGACTGGTCAACAAGTATTACATCTGGTGATGTTCAAACATCTATAGGTACATGTATCGTCTGGCATGACTAGTATGTTTACCACTTTATTCACTGATATTGTGTTACAGTTTACTCTAAACTTGCATGCAAGTGACTTGGCGAAAAAACTTGAGACTCTCTGATGGTAGTGAGAGGGCCTTGACACCTTGCAGTGTTCCTGAGCAGTTTCACTCAAGGGGAGGAGCCTTATTCCTCTCACAGTTTTATTAGCTTTTCTGGCAGGCCAAATAATTCCATCCCTTCCCCATTTCCATCAGATCTATATTAATTATTGACAGAGTACTGGATGGAGTCCCATATTTCCTGTCCTGAATTAGGGTTGCGATACTGCAAATCTCGGTTCATCTCTTGAGAGTTAGTGTGGCAGTCTTTATGGGTGTTGACATCAGCGCCTCTGCAGCTCCTTCCAAACCCCCAGTCCTCATTCTTGCTCTATGCGTACCTCTGCGTACATCCAAAGTGCCTGTAACAAGTAATCAATTTATATTGTGCTTTGAGTCAGTCAGGTGGTTAACATACAGAGTCTTGTTATTGTTGGACTTTGTATTACCAAAGTGGTAAACGTACATTCACATATGTGGCCCACTCTGTGAAAACGAGTCTTAAGTCACCAGAGCCACTGTTTGAGTTTTCGTTTGTTTTTGAAAGAGCAAATTGAGTTTTTTGTTTCGATGTATCACTCAGTTTGGAATCCTGATGTAAGTGGATACTCCTCGGTGACAGATGCTGTGGGCTCCTATTGGTTTACACTGTGCCAAATTATTCTAAAGGACTCTCCAAAGGGGCTTTGGCGACTGAAGATTCATTTTCACAGAGTGGGTCACATATGTGTTTGATAAAACCTGGTAGATTTTGTGCCCTGTGTTATTTTCTTTGAACAGCTGTTAAAAATCAGTCAACCTGCATGAACGTGAGTTAAATAAAGTCACTCTGCATTCCGAACATGAATAAAAAGGTCTACGTGCACAGTAAGAAAAAAAAATCAAAGCGAATTGCTGAAACACAGGCAGGTGCATGTAGCGCACAATATTCAGTTTCACGTTGGCACGCACTACTCAACCACATGCCAGCCCCTGAAGATTGTTCCCGGAAAAAAAAATTGAAAAAGGAAACATGCAGCATTCTGCCTCTTGCTGGACAATTTAATTAATTGGGCCTGCAGCCCCTTCACCGCAGTGAGTTAAACACGGTATCCCTAGCAAACTACGTTCATCAATATCCTAGTTGTATTGGTTCTCAGTATGCCGTGTTCGTGATCGGACCTTCCTTGCTTCGTTTACACTTCTGACTCCCTTCTTATCTTGGCTCTCCTTTTTTTTTGCCTATTGACCTACTAAGATGCCTCCATATTGCATGCCATTAAGGAATCAGGAATTTTTAGTCTTTGAGAAATATTTCCATTTTGCCCTTGGGAGCCTCCGGATGTTTGCAAGAATTCTTTCTTATTAGGTCATGGCTACATATGTGTGGATGGTTTTTACATGAGGAATTTTTTTTTAAGAATCATTAATATCATCCTTTGAGGATCCTAGTCTGTAACAAGGTTATGGGTGTCCATGAATAGTGTTCCTTCGTTATTGGCTTCCTGTCACCATTTTAATTGAATTCTTTCTTAATTCATTGTGATAAAACCCAAAACAACTGAACATGTCAAAGAAAACATTTAATGTTCAGGTCTAATGAAAGAGTATTGGGTTTGTTGATGTGTACAATTTGTTCCATCTGCATTGTCTTTGCCCAGTCTACCTACATGTATGTCCTGGTGAATGTCTATCTCCTACCTTTTCCTTCACTCCTGTCATCTGACCCCCAACCTTGTCTTTTCTCTGACCCCTGACCCGTTCTTTGCACATGAAAATTCCATCCATTCTTTACTTTTTATGCCTCACAGGTTAGAAACTTTAGAGAAGAAAATTGTCGTGGACAGCGGAGAGACACCAACTGTTGTCTACGAACTCAAGCACAAAGTAGAACACTTTAAGGAAAAGTTAGAAGTAAGTTATCAGAGTTTCTGTAGGCTTTTAATCATTGTTTTGGTTTTCCTTCTTTGCCCCTTGTATTTAACATATCCTTCCTAAATCCCTGCAGAAATGTTCTCTTTTTTGATGTTTCTAGTGCAAAGTGGTTTTTGACAGTAATTTACAAACTCTAGGCCAGCTGTGGTTAATATATTTTTGGTAACTTGCTGCACTTAATTTTGTCAGAGACAACGGTGTTTTACTGTAGTCTCTTTTTTCTCTTTGGATCATGCAAACTCAGTAGATGTATAAATAGACAATAAAAACCACCAGGTATTTGAAAGTGCATGACTGTTCATTGTTGTTTTGTCGTGAATTGTTATGGCTTATTCCACTAAGAGATTAATGTGCATATTTGAAAAGGGTAAATTTGCCTGATGGTGCCGTGTATGGGGACCGTGCATTATTCATGAAATTGAATGTCTGTGTGCTGGTCTAATGGATTGTAAAGTCAGTAGAAAATGGGCATTCTCCTTATATATGCACTCTCCTGGGAAGCAACAAGTTATTACATTGATGAGCTGACTTACGACAGAGATATTGTCTGCATTTGGATGTGTCATGTGGAATTGTTGTCTTAAAAAATTGATAATGAAGGTGGCACTGATGAATGTCATGTAACAAAATGTTGAAAATGGCAAAACTATCAAACTTGCTTCTAGAACAGATGGACAGAAAAGTAACATAAATCCTGTCAGTCCCAAAAGGTGACTAATTTCCATTCTTAAGGATGGTTTTTAAATGGAATCTTTCATAGATATCATAACCAAAGGAAAAAAAAGAAACGAAAATGGTTGGGTACACAAAGCAAGTCACAAGATCTGTTTTTTGGATGTTCAGTGACACAGTTCAATGACATAGAGTATGGAATACACCCTCTATAAATCCAACTTCTTTAAGAATGGGTCTCCAGAAAAAAAAAATTTGAAAAAAACGGGGAAGGGTAAAGAGTGCGAAAAAAAGAAAGTGGGCAAAAATCAGCAATTTGCTTGATAAAACCCCAACATTGACCTCATCAATTTCTTCCCTCTAGTCAGTCTCTGTTGGAGTGTTAGCAATTATTTTTATTTTGTGTCCATTTTTGTTTGGACCAGAGTGTAGAACATTTAAGCTGGATGGGGCTTTTCAAAGAAGTAGTGGCTGAGTCCCAAAGCAGGCTTCCATTCTACAAGCAGAGACTAAGGAAAACAGAGGAAGAACAGAGGAGAGTGTGGGAGAAATTCAACAAAATCAAGTAAGAAATCACCTGGAAAAAAATGGAAACCTGTGATGCTGCGGTGACTGTGTCATGTCACTCCACTGCTGTTGACTTCCTGCTGCAAAGTTGGAAATGACTGGAAGCAAAACTGGCATGCAGCTAGTAGCCATGGTTACAAGTGACCTTGACTGGAATATGGATAAACCCTTGAAGCTAGATTGGGAGATAATCAGTTCCCACATTGCCCTATGATGGCAGTACACATGACCTCACATGACCTGTCACCCAGTATTTACACCACCAGTAAAGAAATTTACATAAGGCCCTTAGTCAACAATGGGACAACATATTGAGTAGAAACTGCTATATTTTCAAACTGAATCGGACTAATCTGCACTTTGGTGCACTTTACATTGTGTCAATTGTTGGACAGAGTGAAAACTTGGTCCACTCCATTCTACCCCATTTTGTTCACTGCCAGGGTGGTTTGCAGTGTACTTTTGTTGTCATTGGAGAACTGAATTTATTGAAAAGAGGAAACAAACACACCTTGTGAACAGATATGAAATTGCAAAGATCTGATATTATTGGTGTTTTAACCCCCATAGGAATGTGCAGTTGACAGACGATGTCAGGGAGTATCTACGGAAGCCTACTTTTGACAATTGGCAGTGGGAGGATGCTGAGATGATGGTACTCCTGCAGCAAATGTACATAGATTTAGACTTCACTACTAAATTCAATATTGAGGTATGTATGTGCAAACCATCGTTGTTTGTCCTGTCCAAATGGGGCTCCCTAGGGCACTCCTTTTTTTTACTCATGCGTATGGGGCTCCCTAGGGCTTTCCTTTTTTTGCTCATGCATAGTATCCTGCGGTAATCCCCTGATCATACTGTCTATAATGCTTCCAGGTTCCACAACACGAGCAGCAGCTCCATCGGCCAATCAGAATAGGACAATGGTGGAATGGTTTTGAAATGGGGTCAGCCCGTTGGAGGACAGCAGATGAGAGAACTAAAGTTTTTATGTTTACTCAGACATAGGGTCTAGGTTGAAGTATTTTGGACCTATTACAAGTGGAGGAGGGGGCATTCCCAAGTTGAGAAAGTGCCCCACTTTTACCCCTGCTCCACTGCCACTGACACATTCTTTGCTTCTTTTGCCTTGGCAATGTGGTTATGTCATCATAGGGCCTTATATCAGCTGAAGGAAACGTGGTCCTGCACATGGAATGAGTCTAAGAATCTTCAGACAACATTTCAATATGAGCTTTGACTATAACGACTATTTAGGTCGAAGAAAAAAAAACCACAAGCCCAGCTTTGCCGAGTGGATAGATATTTCAGAATTAAAGTGGATGATCTTGTGTCTTGAAGTCTGCACAGTTTCATTATCACAGACTTCAGAGGGAGAACTGATCATGCAGACAGCTAAGGGGCATTACTCAGAACCTCATGAGGTGGGCGTGGAAAGCTGGCGAACCCCAGGGAGAAAAAAATAAATGCATGATAGAGAGTTAATTTGACAGTTCCATCTGAATAAGTTCACTGTATTTCAAAAAAAAAAAGAGTGGGAAGGGATTGACGTTCAGTAGCAGATGTTTGTGCATGTCTGCCTCAGGAGCAGCGAGTGAAAACAACTCCAATGATTTCCTGTGGACTGCACTGCTCCTGTGACCGTGACTCAGGCTCTCGTCCCTGGAAAGTCCAGCCCCAGAGTCATGAAACAAAGACAAAGAAGGAGAGAAAATTTTGGCTTCTTTCTACCTCTGGAATGGGTGTCTACGTGAATTACCGGGGTTTGCTCTAGGAATGCCTGAGGCCTAGGAACTAAATCAGCACTTGACATATATATCTGCTGGATGCTGAACCCAGCCTGGTTTTTTTTTTTCAAACCCAAATTTTGGCACAACCTCCTTTTTGCGAGTCACTTAGGCAAAAGGAGTTTTGCCCGCAGTGAAAGATCAGAATCGCATTTAATAAGATTGCTTGTCGTCTGGGAATTCTTTCGGTTGAAGTGTCTTCAATTTGAAACTTCGTTATCTCTGTGCTTTCAAGAATGCCTGTTTCCAGCAACCTCAGGCTCCTGGAGAAGTATTTCATCTAAGTGGAAAGTGTTATTTTATGAGAAGTTGCCATTTTGATTAAAAAAAAAGAGAAACATCAACCTTTTTGAAAGCTGACATGCATTGCCAAGTTTTGCGTTCATTTTTATGCTAGCAGAACCTACATGATCAAGTCAGAAACTCCTATTCAATTATGTAATTCCCCCTTCCAATCAACCACCATCATTCTTAGCAAAAATTGGAGTACATAAATGTACTGAATGAAAAGCCTTTCCCATATTTCTCCAGTAACACATTTCTCCCTCATTTTTCCCTTTTGTTCAGATGCCAGTATTACAAAACTTCCTCTTTGAGGTCTTCAGACACTATAACCACGTACCATTCCACAATTTCAAGCACTGCTTCTGTGTCTCACAAATGGTAAGATTTGATTAAATCAGATTTTATTTGATAATGAGAACCCCGGCCCCCTCTTAACGACACCTCCTCTGGAGGATCCTGGTGTGACCTTGTCCTAGTCCACCTGCTCACCGCCATGGCCAGTGTTATAGTCAGGACTATTTTCAGATTTTTCAAGACCTTATTTTTGGTCATTTTTTTTCTTGTTCCTGTGGCAACCCTAACGCTTCATTTATTCCTTCCCCTCGAACTCAAAACAGCTTTGATTCAGTGTATAATTCTGAGAGGTGTAATCAGTCAAATAATGACGCTGTGCAGTATAATTATTAGGTCAAAGAATAGTGATGGGCATATTTCTGAATAAACATTCAACATGAAATATACATTTACCTGGTGAAATCCTACCCAGACCATTTCCTGACCCTGTCAGTACCCATTCAAGATTGCTTTTCAATTTTAAATATTGAAGTTTAACATCCTTAAACTTTAAACAATTCTATCTGCGCTTTCCTCGTCTATGTTGGACTTGATTGAGATCTGATACTTAGTTGTGTGAAGTCTTGGAACAAGACTAGTCATTATGTTGCTTTGAACTCGGCAAGATACCCTTTTGCTTGTCAAATAATGTGGTTACCAGACAAAGTGCCATCTGTGATTGGTTAGCGGCTTAGTAACGTTTAGCACACAAATTTTTACCAAGCAAAAATTTAAAAGCAAAATCATGGTCTATTTCTCATTGAAGTTCCTCAAATTTACTTACCTGAAGACGCAGATACATATTACTTACACAGAAATTAGCTAGTTAATTCTAATCAATGAGAACCTAATATACATGTACATCTTCACTTGTACTTGCAAGAACTGTTTTACTAAATACGAAAAAATTACTGATGTGGTTTGAGATACCTGTGAAAGATCTTCAAAGCAACTGCAATTTTTTTCCCTCCGTAGAGTCAGAAGAAAATTGCTTCTGTAGAAATCGTCTACAGCTGTCCACAAACGCCACGTGAACCCAAGTAATGAAATTTTCACGAGCCCTAATAATCAATTGCATTCCCAGCCACATCCTGAATAAACAGTGGGAAAATGGATTTTGTCTCTGGAAAAAAAAAGAGTAAAATAAACAGAAAAGCCTCTGTGCGGGTTTTTCTTTTGGTACTGAACTCTTAGATTTCCATCATTTGTCCTCAAAATGCTACAGTGATAAAAGTGTTTTTAAATGCGAGGCAACTATTAGATGGCCATCAATTGGTCAATTATTTATTCTTGGCCGGGACTGGGGACGTGTTTGAAGGAGTCGGACCAAGTGTTCTCTGTCTTGTGCAGTTCTCTGAAAAAATTCCCTGCAAAAATGCATAAATCATGGGCATTGGAGAGCTCTCTTGACAGATGAAGTATTAGGGGGAATATCCGAGGCAAACTGTATGCTTCTATCAGCTATTAAACTATGCCGCTGTTTGCCTGCATCATTTCATTTTCCTCCTCATGGAAAAAAAAGGTTACTGATGCACAGACATGATATATATTTTCATATAGCTTTGTCCTTTTTTCAGCTTGTACATCATGTCAAAATTCAGGTACTCTGAGGAGATCGATGGTTATGTGAAATGGACAAAGTTCAATTCTTGTTGGGGAGGGATTTCAGACATTTCAGGTGGCTTTTCTGAGAAGGAACGACAATGTTTTCAATCTCTTCAAGCTACGTCGGATGGTTTCATCCTGTCTTTTGATAATGGGTTTCAGTTCTGATTGCTCTGTCAATTTGCGATGATATTTCGGGAGGTCATATATCCTGGTCCATTAATGTTTGCCAGACTCACATTAAACATAATGCTGTTTGGAGTTCCAGTGGTCTTGGAAATAGTTGGTGAAAATGTCAGATGTTGTTGTATCCTCATCGCTGTTCCCTCTGTGTGCTGAGTTCTTCCTTACTATTTGATCGCCTGTAGAGAGAAGAAAGTCACCTGCTTGTTGTTCAGAATATTCATGAAGATTTGAAGATTCCTGTGTAGTCATTTTCTAACAATACATGTACCTGAAATCTCATGTCTACATGTTGTTAAAGTGCTAAGGAAAAGGCTTCAAACATTTCGACATATGGGGTTTTGGAGGTAGATTGGCCACCCAGAAACCAGTATACAATGGATTTATCTCCTGAAAATCAACAATCAACAATCCGCAACCAACTGGGCCAATTTCGGAAACACCCAGGGTCAAATTGTGTGTTTGTGTTGGGTTGATGACGTCATGGGGAGAAAGGCACAACGGGCATGCTTAAAGCATGCATGTAGATACATGTACATATAAACTGGCATTGTTCCAGCCCAAATGCATCAAAACAAGGAGTTTTGATGATGTGTAGAAAATGCACAGTATTATACATTAGTCTTTAAGGTGTAAAAACCTAAAATCTTATTCTTAGCTGGTCAAAAGAATTGGGAGATTTGTTCTGAAATGAAGTACGAGACACTGAAGGTGAAGAGGAGCATATTTTTTGTGGCGTGCTTGTGAGAGAGCACTTGTGTTCACATGCAGTTTGGTAACAGACTATTCATAGAATAACACGGTCAGCATAGGGTCAGTATCCAGACTTGAATCAGGGGCTGAATCAGGGGCTGAATCTTGTAATACGTGCGCACATGTGAGGCTTCTAGAAAAAGACAACAACCCACATGCGGGTGTCTTTATTGCCGAGTCTACACTTTTCAATGTGTCGAAGAAAACGAGATAAACACACACAGGATTCTTCTCGTGAAAGTGAGTGGATTCAATTCCTATGAAAGTAATTATTTACTCGTCGATGAATGAGGATGACGGCAAGCAGCCTGGCAGTGTTGTGGGGATACTTTGGCGGTCCAAAACCTGGCGGTGGTCCAGCAGCACAGCACCGCCCTCACTGGCAGATACAACACGAGCAGACGGCAAGGCCTATGCATCACATTTCTCACTTCGGAGTGCTTTTGCAGACACTGGATGTTGTTGAAGCAGTCCTCAAAAATCCTTGGCATATTATTTTTGTCTGCAACAACCAAAGATGTTTAAAATCTACCATTAATGCACTGTCCAGGAAATGATCGATTCAACACGTTATTGCACGGAAACATTGAGACCAAGTCTCAGTGGACGAGATTCCTGTCTGAAACTACAAACTACGCTAGACCTGGGTATGTTTATTTTATGACAAAAACAGAACAAATCATGCATTTAAACTTGATGGATGGACCAATCAACATAGTGGACTAGCATCATGCAAGAACATTGCATTTTGAGCATGCCTCTACTATAAGACTAGCCTGAAAGATGCACACTGTTTATAACCGTATCTCTCATATGACATTTTTGGGGTCACCGGCATAATCATTAATACATAATGAGTGTTTCTAAACTCCACAAAAAAGGGACTCGCGGAAGCCCATTTTTTTGACATTTTTTCAGCCATAAATGGAAAAAGTGTTCAATTTTTTCATGTTAATTTCGAAAGATTGTCCTGCCACCTATTGTTTAAAGATTATAATTGGGGAAGGAAGGTTTTCATAGGATATTTGTATGATCAGGGACAAGCAGAGCCTTACCTCAAGATGGGACATGTCATGTAATTTTGTCTTTAGCACCAAAACTGTCCTTAGTTACGCTACTTCAATATATTAAATTTTACAGGAGATGCTTACGAGAGTTAGGAATAGACAAATTTAAATAACCTGCAACAATTTGGAGGAGGGGGTCGTTGTTATCGGTTTTGTGGTTTCTCCCACCCCAGATATTCCTCTGTCATGAATATGTTGGTAAGTGTAAGTGAGACATTGTTGCTGAGTTGATAAGTCGGTAGATACATGTAGCTTGCTTAAAATCCGTAAATCCTCTCGGGCAAGATGTGGAGCAGTCTTTGGTTGAACTTGGATGTTTTTCCATGTTACTTGTCTGGATATCATTTGTTCTAGCAGTGTCTTTCTCCACCTACACATTCATCTGATACTGTTCTGCAGTCTCCAAAGTACCTTACCGTCCATCATCTAGCTGACTACAAAATCATTTTCACCGGGTCAGACTCAAATGCCACTCCATATCCAATACAGTGAACTCGTTCCCGAATGCTGGACCCAAGTTGCAACGCCCCCATCATGATGTCATCAGTGGGGGTATTCTCCACAGTAGCCATGGCAACAGCTCCTCACTAGGAACTTCAGCCGCGAGGCAACTTTATACAGAACATGCCGTGTTCCCCAGTCCAGCTAGCTCCGTCCATTAAACCCATCTCCCCAGAGTGCCAGGATGGAGGGGGCTAACAAAGCAACCCTTGCTGTATAATTTTGCCATTTTGGAGTGCTTTTGCCTGATCTGAGATGTTTTCCATTGCCTACGCTTATTGAAAGAGTTGCATGGAACATACATGTACACGTAGGTTTGAAGATGCCTGCTCCTACATACGTAGATGTGTACAAGCTGAAAATGAGGAGATTCAGACCACCAAGGAATCAACATGCATCCTCATGACTCTCTCCTCCTTCCCAGGGAAATTCAACTGAAATGGGGGTTTAATCAGCACCGAGGGTGGATAACCCTGTCACATAAGCAAGAAGTATCCGGGAACCCCTTTATGCATGCCGTATTGACACTCCATCCATACGCATTCTTTGCAGTGCAACCACCTCTCCTCCCTCCCATTTTCAAAGCGCTGTCTGCCCCTCCTCTTGACTTGCTAAGTGTTGATCTTTGAACCAGACCATTCTACGTATCATAAGGCCCAGCGTAACAATTATTGAAAGGACCCTCATGGGGATTATGAGCTGGAAAAAGAGGTGTAAGAAATTTTACAAAATTGGCAGGAACATGCTTGAAACACTATATTTTGCCATGAAATCATGAACTGTCAGGCAGGACGGGGTCATTAGGCCAGCTGATGCAATACGAGTTGTGGGAAAGAATTCCCCAAATATCCTGCAACATGTACAGTGAATCATGTGTAATTCCTAGCTTTGTAGTGTAGACGATTCCGACGACTTTAATTAGAAGCCATTACTGTG